CCAGTTTGCATCTAGGTTGGCTATGATTAAGCCGCTCAAACTCCGGTTTGAGGGAGAGATCTAAGCAACCACTAGAGCCTGAGCGAGAGGATCGATCCCGTGACAAATCGATCCCTAGCGAATCCATCCCGTGACAAATGGATCGCTAGTTGCTCCTCCTAGTGGTTCCCCTAGACTTGGTGAGTGGATCGATCTTGTGACTAGACCTGGCAATCGGGTCGGGTTCGGTAATTTTGGGTTAGGAATTTCGGTTACGGGTCGGGTCATATTTGGTTGGCTGATTTCGGGTTACATATTGACCCAACCCATTCAGTTTCGGGTCGGGTTACAGGTCATTTCGGGTTATGAGCGTTCTCAGAAACAATATCAAACATGCTTCATATTTTCTTAAAGAACACAAATTTTCACATATGCATGACAATAGTTTACCTAACACATGTCAATTAACATATTCTCAAATCCTCCCATGCTAATAAAATGAAATACAAATTGCGCAAATCATCCAAAAACAATCAGAAGAGTAATACTACTACAAGAAACACATGATATGTGATTTTCCTTAAACTCCAAACATGTCATTCAAATCCTTGTGATTTTTTTTAAACATCTCACCGACTTATGAGTGGTTTTATCATTTTGGGAGTGATATGTAAAATGGAACGGGTCTAACGGGTCGACCCACTAACCCACCCAACCCGACCCAAAAAATCACGGGTTATCGGGTTCGGGTCATTCGGATTTCGGGTTACAAAAATTTCTAGTTTTCGGGCGGTTCGGGTCGGGTCAACGGGTCGGGTTGTAATTTTCCAGGTCTACTTGTGACAAATCAATCACTAGTGAATTGATGTCGTGACAGATTGATCACTAGTTGCTCACCCCCGATGTTCACAACCACCTACGCCTCACGACTTCATTCAATCCAACAAGTCAAGGAAGCTAGTTAGGGGAAGCAATTCCTGGGTGAAGATCCCTTAGTTAGACTTTTCCTTTATTTACTTTTCCTTGAAAGTTGCTTGCTAGATAACAACCTAAGCGATTTAAGTAGGGGCACATGGATCGGCCCGGGTTGACAATTTAAATACTTGCTCTATACTGCACCTGGCTAGAGTTTAAAAACTTGGGCTCTAGTCGGGATTAATTTGTGATGTAGTTTCGTGCGAGTCATAGTATGCAACTCAACTAAAATCATCAACAATTGTCAAAAAGTATTAAGAACCATCAAGAGAAGGGGTTCGATAACCACCCCAAATGTCCATGTGAACCATATCAAAAGAATCTTGAGTCTTAATGGAATGAGAAACAAAAGGCTCTCTGGTGAGTTTAGCACGAAGGCAAGAATCACAATGTTGCCCCTTTGGAACCAAATCAGAAAAAGGAAGAATGTTCTGTAAAACTCTAAACTTTCCGAAAGATGGATGCCCCAATCTATGTGCCATATCGTCATTGATGCCTTCCTAGTGGCTCCTGCAAAGACTGTAGAAGAATCACCATCACGACATCCCAGCTCCTCCAACCTATAGAGATAATAGAATCCATCATGAAGACGACCTATTCCAATTGTAGTCTAAGAGTGTGAGTCCTGGATAAGGGATAGATCACCCAAGAAAATCAAAGCAACGCTGTTATCCTTAGTCAAACGACTGACCAACAGTAGATTACACTTAAAATTCGGAACATACAAAAATCGATCAAGACGCAGATGATCATTCAGAACTACGAATCCTACCCCTTCCACCGGGATAATCGTCCCGTCGGGGATACGAACCGGAGGATGATTACTAGTAGTCTTTAACTGATCCAACCAACTACAATCACGCACTATGTGTCCATTACAATCCGAATTGATGAGCCATTCACATAGTTCAGAAGAATTACCGGTCATATGAGCATTGAGCTATGGTTACTGATGAAGGAGCCTGTGCGGAGTCCAGTAATAGCTTTAGTTGGCTAAACTAGGCTGCTGACAAGCTAGGAATTGGGTTGTCTTCACTCTCCACGTCGGTTGCCTGCGACAGCTGCTTCGCGTCAGGTTTAGGCCGCTTCTGACTAGCACTGCATTCGCTTGAGCGCCCTTTTCCAGGATCAGTGGGATACCCTATCACCTTGTAGCAGGTCTCCTTGGTGTGGCCAAGTTTATTAAAATGCCCACAACGAGGTTTATAATCCTCACCATCCTTCTCGTGACGAGCTTGGAAGGCAACCGCTTCAACTTGGGGTCGTCGTCAACTATTGATGATTCGCTGTTATTCTTCCGCGGCAACAAACGGATAAGCTTCGGCTAGAGAAGGAGTTAGTTTGAAGCTGAGAATCTGCGAGCGAACCACTGAGAATGCATCATCTAAGCCGAGAAGAAAATTGAACAAAGATTCGGTTTCCTCCTTCTCCCTAGTCTGTTTTGCTACATCACCAGAATAATTCACACAAGTGCACCGCGGGTTGATCGTTATAGACTGAAGCTCGTCCCATATGGTCCTGAGCTTGGTGTAAAAGGAGGACACATAAAGTTTCTCTTGTTGCAACGCGAAAATCATTCCGCGAAGCTTATATGCTCTCGTTGCCGACCCCTTTCTGAACTGCTGTGGAGATCAATGCATATATCGTGCATCGTCCGAGCGCCGCGAGCACTATTCCTTACTTCCTTCGTCATTGCTGTCTTAAGCCACCCCTTGATGGTTGCGTCGCACCTTCCCCAAGCCTCATCCCGAACTCTGGTTCTTGCCTTGGACCGGGGAAGACTGCCATCAACGAATGCCATTTTGTTCTTTGTGATTAGGGTTTCGGTCAGAAGGTCACTCCCAAATAATTGGGCATGGGTTTTCTGGCGGATGAAGATAGAGAGGTGAAGTCAGCGGGATGATATCGACTTCGGTGACGACGTACTTGTCGCCTGAGCTGTCGCCCACTCCAGTAGACATAGCTTCTAATTTAACAAAGAATCACTGCTCTGATACCACGTAAAATATCGTAATGCTGAAGCAGACAACACAACGATTTAACGTGGCTTCCCCGTTTGATGTGAACGAGACTACTCCATAAAGAGCCAAGGCCCTCCTGATATACCCGTCACGTATGAACTAGGGTAATTAGGCTAATAGGGAAAATTAAAAAAACAGTCCTCGTAAATAAAAGGATGTACAAATACAGCTCAACATTTTTACACATTTAGAGTAATCTTGGAGGATAGCAGAATGTTTCTGAAGTTAAACCGAGATTGCACTTTGCTTTATTATTATCGAGAATCCAATAAGTTTGTTGATGCAATGGCAGAACTGGGTCATGATTCATGAATGTTCAAGTGGTGAGCAACTTTGGGCTAAACAACTAGCATCCATCAGCACACTCATGGGGTGATATCTATCTCTGGCAGTGACATTTTATAAGAGGCTTTAATGGCCTTTGTTTTCCCTTACCAAGGAAGGAAAATGGAGGGGAAGAAACATTTGGAGGGGAGGAGAGATGAGAGAAAGGAAGGGGAGAGAAAATTTGGAGGGAAGGGAAAATGTTGTTTTATAAAGGAAAGAGAAGGCGAAATTGAAAGAGAAAATATATATTGAGAAATGTGATAGATGTGTTATTTTATTGACTATAGAATAGTAAAATAGTTTAATTATGTGTTGATGTTAATTTCATTACTAGTAAAAGAAATTCATTACTTATGAAAAACATATCAAATTTATTTTTTCTTCCTAATTTGGTTCATTATTAAAAAGAAATTCTCGATTTAAAGTCTTGTTCATTTTAACTCGATTTAATACTTTCATGCATATCGTGTAACACAACGTTATGCACGACATGAGTCAATCTTCGTTTAGTGTTATATTGGACATATAAATAAAAGAATAGTTGAATTAATTTGAGAAGTCCGTAAAACTTAGTTTGGAGGTTGCTCTTGTTACGGACTTAACCCACACCTTATGAATTGAAAAGCTAGTGTTCATCTTTGTCGAAAATATATTAAATTTGGATATTATTTTGTAGATTTTAATTAATGAAAACATTATTGTTTGTTTCATAGACTTCATGATGGATTTTGTTAATTAGATTTGTACGTATGAAGTGAAATTGACGTTCATTGCCCTTTCCAATATGAGAAAGAGAGGAAATATGAGGGATATGTTGATCACAAATAATGAACTTCAAATTCCAGATCAATTCCATTTAAAGAATTGAGTCCCACTAATTTATTGACTCTAAATCTAAATATTTTAAACAAAAGCATCTATCATCCAATCCACCAACTAAACAACCATTAATCAAATTATACCATCACGATTCCATTTGACTAGAATTTGAGGGGTCGTTTGGTATATGCGTATCTAAATTATGCATTTAATGAATGCATGTATTGTATAGAATGTGTCGTTTTTTTGTTTCAAAATGAAATACAATGTATGTATTTGATGATGATGTGACACTTGAAATCATTCAATATGAAAGATTTACAATCTCAACAATTTGGTGAGATTGTGTTTTGAAATTATTTTTCCATTTTGCTTTCCCTTTATATCCCTATCAACTTTTATGCATTATTACTTTTGTATGTAAAAAAAAAAAGGATAAACATGACCTTCAACTTAAAAAGTAATTTTCTTATTTTATTTCTAAAATTACAATCACAACTATCAAACAATATAATCTTAAAATACAAATATTTATATTATACATCAATTTACAATGCAAGTATTTATATAATACATCAATTCTAGTAATAGTATACCAAACGACCTCTGAGACCTTTAATCCGAGGTGGCAAAAGCAAGAGGAAAAAGTAGGGAAGTGATAAGAGATTGGTGGAAGTGGGTCATACAGTACAAGAAACCAGAGGTCCATATCTCACCAATCCGAACCCTCTCCGGATAAGAGAAGAATCCACAATATCACATTTCCATTGGCCCTCATTCCTTCTTCTTTCACCCAAACAAACCACTTTCCCAAGCAACCCCAACTCTCCACACAAAAGAACTGAAAAACTATCTCAAAGACCCCCAAATTCTACAGAAATGGCAGCAGCAATGGCGACCCTGGCAACCCTCAACGCCAAGTGCCTATCCCAGACCAAAACCCAAATCCCCATTTCCACAACCAAGCTTACCCACTCCTCGCCCAAACCCATTTCCCCAATCTCCATCCCCAACCTCCTCCCCAAATCCCTAACCCTAACAGCAAGCTCTGCCCTCGCCGGCGCGGTGTTCTCCACCCTCGGGTCATCCGACCCGGCCTTCGCGGCCCAGCAGCTGGCCCAACTCGCCGAAACCACCGGCAGCGACAACCGCGGAATCGCCCTCCTCTTACCCTTGATCCCCGCCATCGCATGGGTCCTGTTCAACATCCTTCAGCCGGCGCTGAACCAGATCAACAGGATGCGGTCCAAGGGGCTGGTTGTTGGGCTTGGGCTTGGCGGCGGGCTGGCGGCGGCAGGGATGGCGGGGGCGCCAGAGGCGTCCGCGGCGGTGGAGGAGATTGGGAGGATTGCGGCGGCGGCGGAGGGGAGCGACAGCAGGGGACAGCTGCTGTTGATTGTGGTGGCGCCGGCAATTCTGTGGGTGCTTTACAACATCTTGCAGCCGGCGTTGAACCAGCTCAACAGAATGAGATCTGATTGAGGATCGGGATTTTCTGGAAGATTTGGTTGGCGCCCTTGGTTTAATGCATTTGGGGGTAATCTCTGGATATATATAAGAAGTGAATTTGTAATTTTGAACTGTGGTTTTATGGAAAGTGCATCTGCGTTCATGTATGTGTTCGTTTTGTTCTTAGCTTCTTTTGGCCTTCCTGTTTGTTTCAGTATTTGATCACCGCATTTTCACTGAACCTCGTTGCAAAACGGACTTATAGGTCAAGGGTACCATGGCCTAGCGATAGAGTGGTGACATTGGCACGTTCGAAATCGAATGCCGTTAATAGTTTAAGCATTGCCTTACATTTTCTAATTAATTAGCTTTAAGGGTTGGGATCTACTCCTAAGATGTGTTGTTCGAAGGCTTGGAATATTTTTCATGGAATTGTATTAAGGGGTCGTTTGGAAGTTGTGATTGTTTTGTTGAGATTGTCATTATGCATGTATTGTTTACAATGCATCGTTTTCTTTTTTGTTTTTTTAGCAGAAACAATACATGGATTGTTTCTGTGATGTGATAGAAACTATCACTCATTTTGAGTGATTGTTATATCTCAACTTTTAGTTGTGATTGTTGAGATAGTTGAGTTGAGATTGTTTTGTCTCAGCTTTTAGCTTATGCGACATACACAATCACACATACCAAACGTTGTATTCTACAATGCATCAAATTCGACAATACATGTATAATATTATACATGCATTCTCAACAATACATCTATTTAACAATCGCAACTTCCAAACAACCCCTGAGTATCAAGTATTAAGTTAGTATCCAAACACAAACCAGAAAAAGTTGGGCTCATTAGATGAGTATAACCGAGTTATGGATGAAGAAGACGAAAATGAGCATTTCCTTAACTGAATTGCTATTTATAGCCCTAACTTTTTCTTATTTGTAGCCCTAAGAGAATATAATTACTATTTTACCATTCCTTTTAAAATATTGAACTTGTTACAACTCCAACCAAACACTCCCTTCCCTCCCAATTCAACTGTCGCCGGATTCCTCCCAAATATTCTCGCCGGAGACGACGAGCTCTCGCCGGAGACGTGACTCGCCCCTTCTCTCCCGTCGCCGGTTTCCTCTCAAATACAACGGCCACCTCTCCCCGGAGACGACGACCTCTCGCCGGAGACGAAATCAGAGCGCTTCGCGAAGATAATTTTTAATTTTTGCACGAAGGAGGTGACGACCGACCGTTTGACCGCCGCCGGCAAGGGCGACGTCCTGCCGAGGCGTCACCGGCGAGGGACGAACGTCCTGGCCTGACGTTTGTCCGTCGCCGGCGACGCCTCAGCAGGACGTCGCCCTCGCCGGCGGCGGTCAAACGCAGCAGTTTGACCGCCGCCGGCGAGGGCGACGTCCTGCCCAGGCCTTGCCGGCGACGGACTGGGCAGGACATCGCCCTCGTCGGCGGCGGGCAAATACGTTTTTTTTTTAATATTTAATTTAGGTTCATTATCTATTTTAATTATTATGATTTAATGTAGGTTAATTATCTATTTTAATTATTATGATTTAATGTAGGTTAATTATATACTTTAAATTAATTTAAAAAATTACTTTAATTATCTCCTTTAATTATGTACGTTAATTATATGCTTTAATTATTATGATTTAATGTAGGTTAATTACTCTAATTATCTGTTTAAATTATGTATGTTAATTGTCTGCTTTAAATATGTTAATATTTAATATATACGAAAATTATGTCTGTTAATGTTTTCATTTAATTGAAATTAGATAGGAAAGGTAAATTTTAATTGATAAATATAAGAAAGTTTAATAATTTAAATATAGAATTTATTTCATAGAAAGTATTAATTGTTGTACGAACCTTAAATTGCAATTGACAATTTAAGCAAGAAAATTAAGTTAGAATTCATCGTGAAATACATTACAATTTTGAACATTATATTGTGATGGGAATTTTATTGTCATTGAAATTATATACGAATGTTAAATTATAATAGACAATTTAAGCAAGAAAATTAAGTTAGAATTTATTGTGAAATACATTATAATTTCGAATATTATATTGTGATGATAATTTTATTGTAATTAAAATTATATACGAATGTTAAATTATAATAGACAAATATACGAACCTTGAACATTTGAATATAAAAATTTATTATATGAGAACTAACAATTATCATATGAACATTGCTAATATGAACATTGCTAATAACTATTACATGATGATAATAATCTGACAATAATTTTAATTCAAATTTTAATAGGTAGAAAATGGTGGATACAAGAGGAAAGAAGAAGATGAAGGAGGTAGAGCCGTCGAGGGTGACCAACCGTATAGTATTGAGGTCGCGTCGTGAGGAAGCCGAGAATGAGCGTCGACGTGCTAGACTTGTGGAGAATCCTTCTCCCCTGTCTCCCGTGCCTTTTGACTTAGATAGAGCTTTTGAGGGAGTGGATGAGTATGATGGCAGTGATGACAATTATGATGACTTCCCGGATGTAAATGATGCTTTCTTCGAGAGCAACCATCCGAGTGCAGGTGGTTCTAGTGGACCTAGATTAGAGCCCGAAGCTCATTTTGTGTCTTCTTCGTCCTCTCAGTTTGTTCATGTTAGACGTGGGGCTCGTGGTCGTTTTGAGTCATCACGACCCGATTCGGAGGAGGGCAGCACTAGTAAGAGGAAGAAGGCGAGAGAAGCTGATTCGTGGATTCTCGACAGGAGTGGGCCGGGGGGGCCTATCGATCATAGCCTGATTCCTAGTTTTGGAGGTCATGTGGCTTATCGATTATGGGATGATGGTTTAGGGGCTCGCCGAATGGATTCATTCAAGTTGTCGACTAGAGCATTGGCAGTCAATTATTTGAAAGATTACAAATTTCAGAGTGAGGGTGCTGCAGCATTGGCTGAGAGGACAGGGTTGCGCAAGTTGTTGGACTGCTCGATCCAGCACTTGGACGGACCTTTACTTGTGGCATTTGTGGAGAGGTGGCAGCCTGACACCAACACCTTTCACATGCCTTTTGGAGAGATGACCATCACGCTCCACGACGTTGCAGTGTTGCTTGGGATTCCAGTCGGTGAAGATATGGTTGTAGGGAATGAGAGTGTGAAAGCACAGTTGTGTGAGATGCTGAGGGTCGAACAATTGAATGAACGATCCAAGCCTTCGCTTAAGAGTGGGGGTTTGGTGTGTGTTGAAGCTATGCAGCAGGTTGGGAGGTTTCGGGAAAGAGATGAGTTCGTTTTTTGGTGCCCATTCGGCCTCAAACCTGGTGAGATGGTCTCTCGTTCTTTGTACTCTGGTTTCATTCGGTGCATGAGTGTTGAGGAGATGTACGATCCCTCGCGTTGCCTCCGTCAGTTTGGGTACGTACAGACCATCCCCTCAGATCCGCTTCCTCCAGTTGATGTTTGCCGATCTGCGAATGTCAAGATGTACTCCTTGTCCTACGGTCCCGGCTTGAGTGAGCTTTGGAAGGCCCCTCACTGCCACTCGGTGCAGTTGGATTCGATATCGAGACCTGTTAAAAAACTGGAAGATACCGAGGATGGGTATCTACAGTGGTATATGGGACGTACCCACCCGAGGATCGTCTGCCCCAGTGCTGTTGACCAGGAGATACACCACCATCTTAGTCATGATCAGGTAAGTTTAATTATGTTATTGATATTGTTGTTTTGTACAAGCTTAAATATTGCATTAGTTATCGAATAACATACTAACATTTACATTTTTATACAGTTAGCTGTGAAGCTCGTCCGAGAGTTTCGCACTGTGATTGAGCACCCTTATGATGACCACCTTGATCTTCTTCTTGGATTACAAGGGTTGCTTAGAGAGTACGACGAGGCGACTCCATACCATCCTCCACCTCAGTACTAGTGTTGTTCATGTAGTTTGAGTACTATGTAGTTTATTTCTATTTTGAGAACTATGTCGTTAATTTGGTGTTTGAGAACTATGTCGTTTATTTCTAGTTTGAGAACTAAATCGTTTATTTGTTGTTGGAGGACTATGTCGTTTATTTGTAGTTTGAGAACTATGTTGTTTATTTGTTGTTTGAGTACTAGTGTCGTTCATTTGATACTTTATTTGTATGTTTAGAACTATGGTAGTTTTAATTTAAAACTATGTTTACCAAAGACTACAAATATAAAGATAAGATGAGTTACAAAATACTCCTTATTTACAACTATTGTCGTTATATACCAATACTACTACAAATATCTCCTACTAGTCATGATGACCCCCAAGTGCGAAGTAAAGATCTCGCTCGTCCTTGAACAACTGCTCCCACCCTTGAGTACTCATTTTGTCACGGAAATGGGTCCACAGGAAGGTGAATGGAGGCATTGGTATTGAATCCTCCTCAAAGTCAAGGCGCACCCAATGGTTGCCGGTGTTACACAACACCAACACATTGCTAGGGCGAGCTACCCCTGGCTTGGCTATCATAGGTAAAAAGGTTTGTCCAAATGGAACACGTCTTGGTTTCGTCTATTTGACTGTAGAGGATTATGGCCCAGTTAAATAATGTTGCAACTACGGCGAGATCCGACTCAGTCATCCAATGATCCTTTGTAGTACCCTCTGGCTTGTTCCACTGTAATCGTGTAAGAGCAAGACCCACATCTTCATATGCGTACTCACATTGTTGGATCGACATGACTTCATCTATAATAGCCTTTCTCACCCACAAGTGGTGATCCTCATCTCCATGAAGTGCATGTGAAAGAGCTCGAAATCCGCAATGTCCATCAGGAGCAGGGTCCCACCAACCAAGACATCGATCTCTGACACTTTCTGGGATGAAGCGAAAGTAAGGAAAAACATTCACTCCATCAATCTTGGTCATGGGATCCCTTTTCGGGCCACCTGTGGATGTAGTTTTTTTTTTAGTTATCTTATTGGCATATTAAACATACTTATTGAATATCAATGAATTTAACAAAACAACTCAAATTATTCAATACAAACCTGTAATATCTGAGGTTGTTGCTTTTCTCTTTTTATGGATGGTAGCATCCTTCGGGGCACCTGTTAGTTAAAATTTTGTTGTAATTAACTTATTGGCATATTAAACATACTTATTGAATATCAATGAATTTAACAAAACAACTCAAATTATTCAATACAAACATGTATCATCTGAGGTTGTTGTTTTTCTCTTTTTGTGGATGGTAGCATCCTTCGGTGCACTGGTTAGTGAAAATTTTGTTGTAATTAGCTTATTGACATATTAAACATACTTATTGAATATCAATGAATTTAACAAAACAACTCAAATTATTCAATACAAAACTGTATCATCTGAGGTTGATGTCTTCCTCCTTGTGCTCCTTCTACCTTGACGTGCGGCGGCGTGCTCATGCCAAGAAGGATCACGAGCGTTTTCCCTTTTAGGTGGCCGACCTTTTGCCTTCGTAGACACTCGTGGCTCCCTAAGGCCTTCCTCTTCGGGGTAAAGCTTACTCATTAATGCGACCTTGGCTGCTCGAACTGCAGATGGACCACGTCTACACACCTCAGCCACTAGTTCATGATAAATCTGAAGATCATTGGCGTCATTGTCTTCGAACCGTCTTGCATCATGAGGGTTAGCATAGTCCAAAGTAGACCAGAATGGTGCCAAGTGTGTTATCTGAAAATGGTCTCCCGCTCCTTTAAAGGAGTTGATTCGACAACTGCATGGGAGCCCATGTGTCCTCCCAATCACACAATCACATTCCGACGGAGTCTTCTTTCCCTCTACAAACATCAACTCAAGCGCATATAGGCTTACACTTCCCCTTATAACGTCGTAGGGTGGTCCATAGGCTCCTTTGAATGTCTTTGTTCGACATGTCTCTAGCTCTTTCCTAATTTCGATCACTTGCCCCCCAATGCTATCATGCCATGATAAAAATAATGTATCAACTCCCCCAGTCGAAGTGTTTAACCAAGCTTTAAGAGTCGAGTGAGCCGATTCAACCCTATTCGTACTTGTGTTACCAATATGAAAAATATTGTTAGTGTAAGCACAAGCCCACTTCTCTTTATGCTCCAAGCACTCACGATCCAAGTATTCTATCAACTTACTATTCCTCCCCCAAAATCCATTTTTGAAATATTCCCATTCCTCAATCATGGCATGTGGCGTGGTGGCTTCCATCACCTTCTTCCAAGAACCATGTACCACTCCTCGAGCAACTTCTTGTGGTATCCCCAAATCCATCATCTTAGCTTCAATGTTCCGCTTTATGTGCCATATACACAACAAGTGAGCCGATTTCGTGAAGACCTGAGGGATAGCGGCAACCAATCCTCCCTCCTTGTCAGTTAGAATTGCATTCGGTATGCGATCTCCAAGCATGTTCTGTAACTCTCTCAAAAGCCAAACATAAGAATCTGTGGTTTCCCCCTCTATCATAGCAAATCCAATGTTGAAGTTCCTCTTGACGGGGGTAACACCAATAACCTTAACCAGGGGCCTCTTATATTTTTTCGTCTTGTATGTGGAATCAATCAAGATTACATGGTACCAAGCACTCAACATCCGAACGGACTCAGGGTGAGCAAGAAAAAGGTGAGTAAGGTGGTGATCATCATCACGCTTGTAGCCAATGTAGTACCCCATCTCTCTCGCATGGTGTAACGTCCAATCCGAAGGGGTCATGCCACTCAATCTCTCAATCCTTATATTTGCTATCATGTTGTAAAATTGTCGTTTGTTATGGTGAGTACCATACTTTTGGTTGATAGTTTGCATCATTTTTCGAGGAGGAACACGAGCCCATTCCATCTCCTTCATATCCTTTAGCTCTTCATTAGTAAAATCATTCCTCTGAGTGTGGCCTTCGGGATAAAGCTCTAATGCATGGTTGTGAAACCCACAAAATTGTCCCGGATTGTGATTGTCCTTCACACCATCAATCATCCAAGTCTTATCCTCCGGGAGTCCCACCAGTCTCACTCGAAAACGACAACCATCTTTAAGTGACTTTGTGTTGGATCGTCCTTTCTTATCCGGATCTGGGACATATGTATTGTTCTTATATCCACGATGGCAGTGAAGATATATTCGGGGGTACTTCTCGCCATCATTTGATTTGGTTGATGAATGTGTCAAAAAGAACCCAAGATCTTTTGCAATCACTTTCGCAGCTTCCATAGCTTCATTCCATGACTTATATCTTGTATTTGTTATGAAAAATTGAGTATAATCAACTTTGTCTCCCTTATCTTTCGGATCTCCCTAAAATAAACACATTTATCTTATTAGTGATACTAATTTTGAAATGTTTGTTGTAGATTAAATTATTCCAATTTGATATAGATTGAGTCTTACATAAGTTTCAACACTTTTCATGACTTGTAATGTTTGTTGTAAATTGAGTCTTATGTAAGTTTTAGAAAATTTGATGACTTGTTTGCAATATTAGATTTTATATTTATCTTCTTATTAAAAAATATTAAACATGTTATTAAAAATTATTCAATATTCGAACATAAACTAATCCAATACATTTTCAACAAAAAATTAGCACATTTAGCATGATTAACTACCAAATTCTAATATTTCAATATGCAATAAAAAGTTTTTAACAAGTAGACACGTACCCATTAAATTATCAACAACACAACGTTGTTAACAATTATTCAATATTTGAACATTAACTAATCCAATACATTTTCAATAAAAAATTAGCACATTTAGCATGATTAACTACCAAATCCTAATAATTCAACATGCAATAAAAAAGTTTTTAACAAGTAGACACGTACTAATTAAATTATCAACAAGATAGTAAAATCAATAATTCAACATTTTTCAAACAATATGTATCATTGTAAAGCAAATATTTAAGCATATTATCAATTACTAGACTTCATCATAACAATAAATAATTCAACATGATTCTAAAATTAAAAAGTTTAACTCACTAACCGTGTTACTCATTATCTGATGTAGTGATATCCAGAAGTCCGAACTTGACCAACTTCAAGAAATACATACAAGAAAAATATTTTCAGTAATACTAACTTAGTTTCAAAATATAAAAAAATGAAATTCAAGAAATTCATTCTAAAAATAATATTATAGCAAATCCATCCTAAAAAATATGATAATTACAATATCATAAAATAATAAACTACAATAAAATTGCTAAATATTCTTCAAAGTCTAAATTATTGTTAGTAAACATTAACTTAGTTTCAAAATAATAAAAAATGAAGTTAAAGAACTTCATTCTACAAATAATATTATAAAAAATCCTACTAAAAATATGGTAATTACAATATTCATAAAATAATAAATTACAATAATAAAAACACTACATATTCTTAAAATATGGCAATTAAAAGTCTAAATTCAGGAAACATTAACTTAGTTTCGAAATATCAAAAATTAAAATTCAATAACTTCATTTTAAAAAATAATATTAGAACAAATTTTTGTAAACAATATGATAATTAAAATATTCATAAAATAATGAACTGTAATAAAATCACTAAATGTTCTTAAAAATCTAAATTATTCATCAATCTATTATAAAAAATCTAAAATAATAACCGAAAAATCTAAATTAATATCTATTTAAAAAATCTAATATACTTCACAAATTTAAATTAACAGAAAATTAAAAATAAAATAAAAAATCGGCGACGTCCCGGCAGGACGTTCGTCCGTCGTTGTCGGGTAATTTGCCGGCGTACCTCGTCGGAGAAAGGGGCGGTCACCGGCGGGAGGTGGTTGTTGCCGGCGGCGAGTATTGTAGGATTGTGTTTGGAAAAGTGTTTGAATGTTTTGGTCTTGGAATGTGTGAAGTAAATGTATTTAAATGTCATTATTGTACTTTTTATAATTTAGGACTACAAATAAAAATAATTTAGGGCTACAAATAGTATGCCCCTTCCTTAGACGTCCTAAACGTAGTTATCAAATGCATAATGAAAATTTTTGGTCGTTTTTTTACAAAATTACCAAAGAGTTGACGTTTTTTATAAAAGAATAAAATCTAATGAATAAATGCATTACAATAAATTTTGTTGGCTATAGGGTTCTAACCCATGAGCACTTAGGTGTAGGGATGTCAATCCAACCCGTAACCATGGGTACCCTACCCGACCGTAACCGGTCAACGAGGGTAATTACCCGCTTTGACGGGTTAAGGGGCGGGTACGGGTAATACCCGGTTTCAAAATAAAGGGTAGGGTACGGGTATGGTAATCGACAATACCCGCCCCGCTAACTAAAAGTTGATTTTCCTAGACCCTAACCCAGCACCCACTGCCCGACACTACCTAACCAGAAGTGAGAAGACAATCTGGCCAGTGGCCACTTCTCCCCAAGAAGACCCCAACTTTGTATCCCTAAAATCAAAACCCTATTCCTAAATTCTAAGCTCTCCCCGCCGCCCTCCAGCCAGCCTACAGTCCACGCGGCCACGCACATTTCACAAGGAACTTCGCCGGCCGCCAGTCCCAACGGCGTCGACGTCGACATCCGCCTCTCGTCCTCTCCTCTGCTTCCTTCCCGGTTCGTGCGCCATTTCCCTGCTACCTCTCCGTCGCGCGTCGTTCCCAGCTACCCTCTCCGTTCGCGCGCCGTTTGCAAGGAACCTCGCCGGCCGCGCGAATCCGAACGGCGTCGACGCGTCATCTGCCTCTCGCCCTCTCCCCTGCTTCCTTCCCGGTTCGTGCGTCGTTTCCCTGCCACCATCTCCGTCGCGCGCCGTTCCTCTCGCCAAATCTCCACCGTTCCAGCGCGCCTGCTCTCCCCTATTCCAACGCGGCTCGCCAGATCTCCCCTGTTCTGCAAGCATCCCACGACGACAAGCATCGAACAGTAGGGTATTTTTGGCTTGATTCCCTTTGTTAATTAATCTCGCTGGTCATGTGTTTGCTTGATTCCCTTTGTTAATTAATCTCGCTGGTCATCTGTGAAATAAAGGAAATATAGATAGCTGTGATATAACGCTGCTGCTCTATGCTAGTAGTGTTGGCACGTATAGTAGCTTAATACGATAGGGAAAAGGCAAGAGTTAGAGATAAAAACTGTATCATAAGCTATAACTGGTAAGCTAATTGTGTGTTTGAAGCAGAGGAGGAACAGGGCAAAGGCAAGAGAGAGAGACAGTACAGTGTAGTAAGAAGTCAATAAAACTTGAAGTTTTGTTCTAA